TCCATTGTCTTGGTCTTGGAACATCGGCACGGTTGAGCAAGACATCAAAGCCTTGTGCCAGGCGTGCACAGCAGAGTCCGCGGGAGCATCTTGGCAATTGCAAGCGATAGCTTTGATGATGTCCGTTGTGGGAAGAGTGGAGTGGTAGCCGCTATATCACGAGGCTCATGAAGTGCTAGAGGGGCACCTGCGATATATGGGGACGCCGGCCGGGTCGTCGCCATAATCACATCAAATGCCTACGCCGCGCCTGGGCAGATGAGCATCTTGAGCCTCATCCCAAAATATCTGCCAGTATCGAAGACATAAATTGGCCGGTCACGTTACCGGTCATCTCTCGATGTTGCATGGTCAATTCCGAACCGAATGACCGTATTCCGTCGGCTTCAGCGACGCCGATGTCAATCGGACCTTCGAGGCACTCGGGAGGCATATTTTCAGCCCTATCAGGGACCTACCTCTAGCGAAGGCGGGCGCAGGGAAGAAATCCCCTTGCTTGTGTGCTAGAAGAAGCCCCATTGCGCCGGAGCTTACCCCGACGCTAGCTAGTCCCTCGAATTCCGTGCAATGAGCGCCCAGAGATTCGCTGAGGGTAGCTGTTGTGTGACGTTATACTCGTGAGTGAGGAGAAAGGTCGGATGCCTCCTCCTTGATACGTACCTACACTACTCCCACTATATTGCAAGTGGCTGGAATCGCATGATGGGCGTCCCGGGTCTGGAAGGGACGGTTAGTCATTCGGGGTAGTGCAACGACAACCTCTCGTCAAATTGCAACTCTTGCCCATGAAGCCATGACGGGCAATGTCCCAGAGGCATCAAACGCATCTATAACAAAATATTGGTCTCACGTCGCAGGTAAAGTCAGTAAGTGTCCTACCCCCACATCGGAACTTGAACCAGGGGTTGGGGTAGCCAGACTGACTGTCAAGAGATATTGACCGTGGTCTAGAACGTCTCTCCATCATCTCCCCTGATTAGCAAAGGGACCTCCTCTGAGATACAGCAAGGTAGGTAGGCTGAGGAAGGACCCCACGGTGCCACGATCCACCAGTTCGGTTGTGCGCTTGTTGCTTTAGTTGCGGGCTGCGCCGTGGACCTTTGCTGTGATACGATCAAGAGCTTCATCAGGTGAGCTTAAGCGGACGACCGGAGCTCCTCGATACAAGTGTTACTTTTCTTCTGCGGGTCGTGTTCTCGTACCTACCATGCAACCTTTCGGATTAAGGACTGAACGAGCAAAGCACTGCGACTTTGGAGTTGTTAAGTTCACCGCAAGTTGGCAAGGCCTCATTGCACTTTATGACTGTAAACCGAATGGCTCCTCGTTCATTGTTCGAAGCCTATGTCATCAAATTCTTTCCCGTCCAATGTCGGACGGCTGGAAGATTCAGTGCTTACTCCTTGGCTTGGATGCATGGCTGCGGCGCGTGCGGTCAACCCGTCGGTCGGTACGGTGTCGTGTCGGGTATCGTCACCTCACCCCAATTGCAACGTTATCGAGAAACTGGAGACGCCAAAACTTCACTGGCACTTTTCTCGCTTCGTTCGATATCTGGATTCTGAACTATCCAAAATCAGGTCATCACAGCCGAAAAGCAATGTCAATGTCTTGATATCAGTCTGTCTCATAACGGTTCGACGCTCAGGAGATGCACTCATAAAGCACTATCTTTCCCCAGGATCATCGCGGTTTACTAACGGAAGCCATAGCTATCAGACGCTCTCAAAAATCCCAACTCGACGACACACACCTGATGTAACGTAAACTGCCGAGCCCGCCAATCCGACATGCCGCGGAGATCTCGTCAGGTCCCCTATGGATTGATGGCAGGTGTAACATGAGGACTGCACTCCGCAGCCAATCAGAACCACATCTTCAAGCTGAACCGATGAGCTGCTGAAGGGGTCAACAGCTTCACAAGAAGCTTCGGGATGAGGGGCACAGCCCCGAGCCACATGGTCTCAAAGCGAATCATGGTCCATCCCAGACGACGTTTTTGTCCCGCCGTGCAGCCAGGCTTGATGCATTGCACAGCCCTATACCACCATGTTAACATGAGAAGCTATCATGACGGGCAGAGGAACGATAGCTGGTACAAGCTTCCTCTGTTTTGGGGAACCGTCATGAACGCAAGCGACCATGGAGACGGCACATTGTGGCTTTCAACATGCGGTTCTAAGTCAGTGACTTTGATGAATGGTTGCAACCTCCTCCCGGTCCCAAACAGGACAGAAGCGAATCGAGTGTCACGTCATTCGGCCAGCAACTCCTTCTCTGAATGCCATCCCTCGAGCCAAGGTACGCCCTCGCTGTAGTGACGATGGCAGTGCACAGAGTGTCACAGCATTGGAGCTTCCTTCCTTGAAGCTTCCACTTGTTGAAACAGCGGTATGCGGAGATCTGTGGGGATGAGGAAGGGTGTATTATCCGCGTCCTCGCGGAGACACTCGGGCCGTCGAGGTTCTCATGATGATATAACCCGAGCCTTGGCTCCCTCCCCTTCTTGGTCTGAAAGATCTCCTCCATCTCTGTTTTTTACTTCGCCAAGTTCGGACAACAAGTACCAGAAGATGTTTTCTTCCCACGTACAACGATCTCCCGATTACAAGTCCAAGACATCCTCGCATAAGCAGCGTGGAACCAACACCACAATGGCTCTAACATTCAGTCACCTCACTGCCGCCACCTTCGAGAAAGACGTCGGACGCGGAAGGAAACGACCACGCGTCAGAGAAGCCGTATCGTGCGAACAATGCCGAACTCGCAAGATCCGGTGTGATCGAGAATCACCATGCAAGCCATGCAAAGACCGCGGTCATCCATCAAGCTGTGTCTACAGCAGCCACAAGGACCGACATCACAATCCTACTTCCAGTCATGGTACCAACAAGGCCAAGACAACAACAAAGTCTTTCAGCGAAAGTCCCCCTCAAATGCCCTCGATTGAGGTCGTACTCCCAATCAGACCCACACTCCTCCCGAGAGCTGCTCCTCCTCCATCAGGGAGACCCCCGAACCAATGCTGAGCATCGACCACTCCCTCTCCCCTTTCTCTTCTCGACAACCCTCACCACTTCCCAGCCCCCGAAGTCCTCGCTTCCAAACCTCCGCTTGCAAAACGCGTATGATCGGCCTCAGCCATTGGATGGCCCCCTGCAACGAAATGGACGTCGTCCGCGCCTTACTCGACCACTCTGAGCCCTTTAACGCCAGCCGCAAAGCCTTTCACGAGTTGAAAGCCATGTTGCGTCAATACAACGCCATCCCGCCTACCCTCCCACCAACTCTCACAAACGACACAGACCTCAAACTCCTTCTCCCCGACCGGATAACCTGCGGCCGCTGGTGTGCGCAGTACCAAGCTACTTACGGGCGGATCTACTCCATCCTCGACCCAAAGGCGTTGACCACGGATGTGGATAGAATTTACGCGGGCACCTTGTCTCATCCCGTGCACGTCTCCAAGGTGCTACTAGCAATGGCCATCGCTATGCAACTTTCTTCTTCTTCTTCTTCTTCTTCCTCCTCCTCTTCACCATCCTCCGCAGACCACCTCTACGGCCGCTCGCTAGCCCGCCAAGTCGAACTCCTCCTTCATTCATCCAGCCGGTTCCAAAAACCGTGCATAGGCGTCGTGCAGGTGCACCTCCTTTTGCTGGTACTAAAAACCATCTCAGCAAGCGACACAGATAAGATCTACGACTTGATGGGTCTACACGGAATCACGACGCAGATTGTCTTGAACATGGGTCTGTACCGTGACCCTGGCCTGTTTGTGGATGTTAGTCCGTATCATGCCGAGGTTAGGAAGAGGTTGTGGTGGTGTTTCGTCAGGTTGAATCTGGAGTATTGTGTTAGGAGCGGGACGCAGTTTACGTTGAGGTTGGAGGAGGGGGATTGTCCGCTTCCCACCACGGCCGGACTTGGGCTGATGAGGGGGGCGGATGCACATGGGACTACTACATCTACATCTAACACCATACTTGGATGTGAAACTGATGACCAAGCCAGAACGGACCTGGAGTTTGGAATCGCCGCCGCAAAACTGGCGAGGGTTATCGGTCCTATGCAACAGGCTCTTTACTCTTCCTCTACCTCATCATCTAAAGCAGGGGACGTCTCGGACCCGGTGCAGATGCAGGATGAGCTTAGGCAAGCATACGAGGAGATCATTGCTTGTCTCCCTGCTGAGCTCCAACCTGGCACTGGCTCTGGCACCGGCCCTGGCTCTCAAACAAGTCCAGCAGTGGCAGTGGCAGACCCCATCCACACTCTCCAACAATCCATCCTCTCGATAACTCTCCACTCCTTCCTCACAATCATCAACCTGGCCTCAACCCTCGGCTCCATGTCCACATCCCCAACCCAGCACGGCTTGCAGAGGACTTCCCTCATGGAAATCTGGGACTCCTCCACCTCTGTCTTTCACGAGTTTCAGTCTCTCTGCCAACTCCAACTCCAACTCCCCACCCCGGCCAGTCCAAGCACTGCAAGCACAGACACAGACATTACCAAGATAACAAGCATGACATGCCACCTCCTCTGGACCGACGCCTGCCGCGCCGTCCTAGCAGCATGCTGGACCGTCTCCCGGCTAAGGGAACTCGATTCCTCTTCAAGGCAGCCTCAACGGACAGTTCACGTCTTCCAGCAAATCTTGACGGAAGCACTGGGCTTTTTGTCAGGGATGTGGAAAACTAAATTCCACCTTGGACCAGTGGCTGCTAAGACGAGTATTATTTTGGCGGTGGCAATGAATGTTACGCTTAACAATGGTAGTGGGTCGGATGCACATGGGAAGGGGAGGATGGATGTTGGGGTGGCGACGGCTGAGGGGTTGGTTGGGGAGTTTAGGGATGCATTGCAGCAGCTTCAACGAGGGCAGCAGCTTCGACATGGGCAGCAGCAGGATCTTCCTACCACTAGCACTGCTACTAACTCTGGAGGTCGTTTGTCTGACCTGGGCCTGGGCATCATAACAACCTGCTATTCCCCCAGTGTCGTTTCTGCCTCACTCTCGAGTCCAGATATCGAGACCATGTCTGTAACTGGGACAGGGACAGGGGGTATCTACGGCAGCTGGACTGCACCCACGCCTTCCAACACCTTGCTGGTCCCGCCGAGGACAAGCTCGGGAGCGAGTTCGATGGTTGGAACGCCGTCGTTGACAACGCATGAGTACTTTGATTTGGACTTCTCCTCGGCACCAGAAGCGAGTGGCTTTAGCATTGGCTTGCCACAGGATAATTTGGCGCTGGATAGTCCTGTGTATGGGTATCAGGAGGGATACCATGTTGATGGGGTTATGCGAAGCCAAGAGGGGATGGGGATGTATAACATGAACATGAACCTGAATGCGTATCAAGGGATGGAGGGGATGAATGGGATGAGTTTGTGGCAATGAGGACTGTGTACTGAGTATATATTGGAGGGGCTCAGGGGCCGAAAGATTGTATGATTCAAGTTGAAGTTAGTGTCATCCTTCATGTTGTCCAGAATAGGTGACAAAGATAAAGAAATATTGGTCGTAGTGAGATGTACCTACACCAAACCGCCTCTGTGAAATGTCAGTAAAACGCAGTGCTGTTTACCTGCCTCGCTCAAAGCGTCCATCTTGAGATGGACAGCTGAATCCTCAAAACATGTACCAGCCAGTTGTTGGTGGTTCTATTGTTCGTGCGCCCCACCACAGAAAATCGATCATGGAGAGGAGGTAAGGACTCATTTTCGTTAGTTGGACCTCATTTCGCTGGATGATATGTAGAAGTCCGTTGTTGTCTGGGTGGGTTGGACTCTGAATTTGAGAGTCGAATGGCGGTGGTGGTCATAGTATGTGATACTCAAGCGGAGTGGAGAGGGTGAGACGTGGAGGAATAATTTGGGAGACGCGCGAGAGGGAGGATTGGAGATGGCAAACGGAATGACAGGAGTCATCATGGTAGTCCATGAGAAATAGACGAAGGCGCATTGTGTCAAGAACAGACAGTGAGGAGAAATCATCGAGAAAGTCATTGGTATTTTTTCCTTCCCACATTCCACACTATGCTCAGATGCTCTTCAAAAAGGCAAAAGACGCCAGGAGTCCGACACCCCAAACAAATCCGATAAACGCCGCGACACAGAGAAAGCTTCCTCATTTTGGAGATCCGACAAAAAGAGAAAAAAAGGCAAACATGCAATATAATCCAGCATCACAAAATGTTCTCCAGGATCCAGAGAAGCCGAAGCAAGCCCAGTGGTTTTGCCAACGCCGCCGCCGCCGTTGCCCATTGTCATCATATCATATCATTCTTGCCCGTGCGTCAGAGAGCCCCAAATTCATCGTTGGAATGCCAGTTCTACTTCCACTTCCCAAAAGTTGCCAAGTAGAAAGCGAAATTCGTCTGTCGTGATCGTAGCAGCGAGAGATTGGTCGGCCACAGATTGATTGAGCACAGCCGAGGCGGACGAAGAAGAGGTTGTTGATCAACTAATGTCTTGTAGCTATCGCAAGCCTTGCGCGAAATCTTGTCGATCGAGTCGGTGGTGGTATTCAGTTGTTGGACTGGACCTCCATCTTGACCATCGCTTGGTAGTAGTCGTGCTGGTTGGCATCGAGGCTGGCCTTCATGTCCTTGTCGAAATAATTATTTTCCTCCTGCTCGAAGGAAGCAGCTGATTTTCTTCTTGACAGTAGCGGCGATGTTATTGATGGTCTTCTGGTCGACTTCTTCCTTCTTAACGATGTTGGTGGTGGGCTGATTGACAACGATGCTCGCGCCGGACGGACGCGAACAAATGACGGACGGGTGGCGGCATTGACGTGGAAGGCATCCTTGTATTGACTTCGGTCAATGGATCCTGGTGGCCACGATCATTCTACTCGTGGTCTAGTTGAGGGCCTCTGTTCGCGGAATCAATGTCAGCCGCTGCTCGTCTCCAGACCACAGGGAACAATTGGTGAACCGGAAGAGAGGAATACGTACTCTGGGCAAGAAGGACCGCAAAACGTCTGCGGAGGGTGATACGGTGACGAGACCACTTGTCATCGGGAGAGAAGCGAGCGGGGTGGGCGCTCTTGGTGACGGCGCCATCGAGGACCTTCTTGAGGGTGTACTGGCGCGCGAGAGGCTTGCCGTTGGCATCCTTGGCGGGGACATACATCAAATGCATTTTGGCGGTTTGGGGGTCTGAGCTGACGGGCTTGGGTTTGTGGTGATGTGTGGCTCGGTCGGGGTGGGAGATGGAGAACGAGGTGAGGTTGTCGTCGAGAAAGTTGTCAGATCAATCTGCTGCCTTTCGATAATTTTCGACGTGCCCGCCGCGCCGCCGATGGAAAGAAACTGCACGAAAAATGGAGTGGTCTGTGCGCCATTTGGTCGCTTAAGGCAGGCGGTGTGGGGGAAGTTACTCCACCCTGCAAGGCACGGCTAGCCGGACGGGGGAATTTGTGGGGCTTGGGGATTGGGCCCCTGTTCATGTCATTGCTGTGCAAGTCGTTTGGCAATTGTCAAAGGAATTGGAACTTTGATCTTGAATTTCCAACTTCACCTCCGTTCTGCAGGGTAGGCATTTGTCCATTGAACAAATTCACAGACCGAGTCTTGAGGCTCATAACTTCACTTGCCAGCCAAGCATTCACCAAATGTCGAGCTATGACGATCCAATTATTCACCGTTCAGTGTGCCGCGGGTACGGAATTCACACTCCGTGACATGGTCTTCTTCTTGTCGTGGCCTCGCGGAGTTCACCAAACTGCCGCGAACAAAGACTTGTCGGAACAATGTCTTTATGCCTTACAACGAATCCTTTTTCTCCTTTCTCCTCCGTACACGGGTCTTTAGGATATGACCTTCGAACAATCACCGGCAATATGTTGCGTCGCTCCGGCGCCGCGCCGTTGCCTCTTGCAAAGAGTTCCCTCCCATTCTTCGGGGAGAATCATCCAAGATGCCGAACAATTCTCTTCACGGATACTCTTTCACCGGGAGTGTTCTCCTCTGATCCGGACATAACAGTCCTGTTGTCCGATGTTAATATCCTGAACAGCCATATTGTCAACCTTGATGGCACAAAGAGTTTACTCCCGTCCATGGGATGGACTCATCCGGGTTGTTGAACAATACCATTCACGAATACCCTTTCACCGGGAGTGTTCTTCCCTCAGCCGGATAGAACAGTCGTTGTTCCATCTTAGTATCCTGAACAGTTTTTTTTGTCAACCTCGATCACATCGCTCTCCAGAAGCATAAATACTCGATGACCCCTTCATCAAATCCAGAACTTTTTTTTCCTCATCATCATCAACCGGACATTTCGAGACATCCATAACACCGTCTCATCAGCCTACCAAGAAACCAAACCACCCCAAACAAACAAGGTAACCACCCTACTTTCCCAACCCCGAATTAACAACCCCGATACCTTCTCGCAAGGTATCACCAACAACAACAAACAGCAAAAATGTGTCAAGGCCGTATAATCTCCTACTACTGCCCCTACGCCCTCCGTGGCAACCCCAACTGCCCCTGTTCCCGCATGGCCTCCCGCAGTGGACGCAACATCCCCGCCTGGATGTGCTACTTCGACCAGGCCACCGCCCAATGTTGCGGTTGGCATTCTAGGTCTCTCGGCTGCGGCGACTGTCCTTATAACACGTACGGCCGACGTGGCGATCGCTGCTCGGTGTATGTGCATATGGGCAAGAACTTGTGCTCGGCTTGTAAGAGTGGCAGCAGGGCTGAGGAGGGAAGGATAATGCGGGAGATGGAGAATTTGAGGGAGGAGGGCCAATTTGGGGCGGCGGAGGATGTGGATGTTTTGGCGAGCGAGTTTGAGAGGATGGGGTTTTAGTGTGGGGGAGGTGGTGAGGTAAGTGTCGAATACTGAGGGCTTTGGGGGCGGTAGGTATGGCCACCGGGCGAGATGGTGGTGATGGGTTGTATGTTGTTTTTGGCTTACATCTTTAGGTTAAGGTATGTCGTAGATCATACGTGTGTGAATTGGACATGTCTCTGGTAGGCACCCGTTTTAATCAATTTAGTTTTTCTGTCCTCAAATAAGGTCCAATTGTCAGTGACTAATTACTATGGTGTTCATCTCAATCTAATGATGTGAAAAAGAAAGGGGTCATTTTCCCCCATTGAGAACCCAAAAGAAATTGTTTTACATAAGTGTAGGTTTCCAGCCCACTTCCAACAACATCGGACCATATCAGTTCAATCGGGTATGGTGTAGCGGTAACATCGTTGACTCTCACTTCTCAGGAGTGACTGCTCTCTCAACAGCCCCGGGTTCGACTCCCGGTATCCGAGTCTCAATATCTTTTTTGCGATTTTTTTCCTTTTTGTCATTTTGGACTTTGCCTTGATCGTAGAATTGCTATTTCCTTTTTGCCATGGGTATTTTGCTGTTATCATTTCAGTCATTGTTCCTTCCTCCAGTGATTCCTTTTTCATTCTCCGTTCGTTATGCCCGCCCGGTGGGAAGATCCGGCGCGGATAGGCAACCATGGGGTTTGAATCGCCTAGAAAAAGAAAAGCCGTGGCGCGTGCATCATATCTTCGTTTCCCAAACAAAACATCATTTTTCCCTCAGTACCACCTCCTTCGCCACTCACTTCGGATCGGGAGCAGCACCGACCGCCTCAACCTTCCTCTGCAATTCCAATATCTCCGCAATCGTGAGCGGCTTGTCGGACCTCTTGAATCCTTCTTCAATCGGGAGCCGTTCCTCCTCTGTTCAGTTGTTCAGTGGTTAGCGCTGTACTTCACTTGTACGGGACCGTAACCGGATCGCATTGCATTATCCCCAAACCCGGTCCCGGCATCATCATCCCGACATCTCCTTTCACTCATCACCTCCCACCATCTCCCGCTCTTTTGTTCCTCCCTGTCCCAGCCACCACCTTCTCTTCCCTTCTCTTCACCCTTTCACCCCTCCACCAACCTATCATCAAACCTCATCAAACAACAAGAAACAAAAGAGAATAATAAACTCACCAAACATAACCCGAACCCACCTCGTCTCCGCCCCGCCCTCCGTCCCCCTTCCCAAAACCCTCAAATACAACGCCGTCTCAATCGCACTGAACCTCAGATCCTCACTGCTCATCTTGAACCCCTCGGGATTCAGTTTCGGTCCCTCAGCAATCCTGAACCCGCGCATCTTCGCTGCCGTCTCGATACTAATCCTTTCGTCATCGCCAATGACTTGCAGCACGGTAGCCCAGATCTCAGGTGAAAAGGTGTGATTGTCGCCCATGCTTACGTCGCCTCGAGATAAGGAGCCATCGTGTTCGATTACCCCGTGTTTGTTGAGGTCGTCGAGGTGGAAGGTTACCCAGGAGCCCGTGCTGGAGGCTTGGAGGGCTTTGAGGCCTACTATTAGGGAGGCGTCGGGGGAGAGGTTGATCCCCTTCTTCAGGCCCTGCATCAGCTGAGCGAGAGAAATGTCGGCGCCGGAGTGAGGGAGGTAGCCGTGGTTGGCGAGGGCGTTGAGCATTGGGCAGGGGGAGCGGCCTTTTCGATCACTTCCTGTCAGCCATCCATCCAAAGTATGTGATCGATGTGTGGGTAGGAGAATCAGATGATGATGAAAATCGAGCTCGCTCGTTTTCAGGGAAAAAAAACCTCGAGCAGAGCGAGGCAAGAAAAAAAAGAGAGGGGAGGAGGGGGAGTGGTTACGGTCTCCGGGTCCAGCCTTCCGCCATGTGTGATCCTCTTCCTTATCTTCGCTTTGCCCGGTGAGTTTGGCGTAGACTTCTATCCCCCCTGCTAAGATGGAGGTGAGGAAGGACATGACTTTTATGCCTAGGGTTGGGGATGTTATATTTGGGGACATGGTGGGCTGTTGACCTCTTTGCTGATCCGGATCTTTGGATGGCAAGTCGTCGTTGTGGTATGGTGAGTGCGGTTGCTGGTGAGAAGCTTGATGCGTGAGTGAGCTTTATTGAATCAGTGGGTGATGGGTAAGATAGTTGTTGGTGACGATGAGATATAGTTGAAGTTGAAGAACTTAAACCTGGATGCTACCCCGGCTTTAATGGTCGATCTGGAACCTTGCTCCGGAGCGAACTCCCGCTGTTGGGCTGAAACCAGAAACAACGTCACAGGTACCTTTTTACCCGCTCAGCCATGCTTCGTTGGCACGCTGAATGGAGCGGGCACGTCCAATAAGGAGCGATCATTTACGATCGTGGAACAGGAGTTTATCGCCAATCAAAGGCAATTGGTGCTACCGTGAACTTGCATGCCACTCCGTGCTTGGAGCGGTCCTCACTCAGCCAGCCATGATTTCTCATGTTGGAAGGTGAGGAGCAATATCGATAACGATGGTTCGACACAGGTGCTGGTCAATATCCGAGAAGCCAGATTCATCCAGAGCTTCTCTTCTGAAAGTTCGACCATTTGGTTGTGTGACCGTGATAACTTCAACTGTTGTATTTTCGCTGGACCAGAAGACAAAACATTTCTCTGATCGGATTCCTCTAGGTAGACAGAAAGACAAACAATAACTCTTAGCAGAAACGGGACCTAACGCCATTACGCCATTGACGATGACTAACAGAAGCAGAAACATCCCTTTACCCTTTCCTTTTTTACCCTTCATCCAAACTCTCATCTCAAGTGCCACCACCATCCATCATCAAATCCACCCCCCTGCCTGGTAACCACTCACCTCCTCTTCTTAGCATTAACATTCCTCCCCGCACCCACCTTAATCCTATTATTCCCCGTACCACCCTGCCTATGTCCGGTAAGAATACCCGGCAAATAATCATCATCCATCAAATCCCTATACCTCGTCCTCTTCTCCTCCTCCGCCCTCTTGATATACTCCTTCTGATCCTCGGCGAGAATCAACTCCTTGCCCCAACCACCCTTTCCACCGCCCTTCACATTCTGGTTCTTTCCACTCGCGGTACCGTGCGTCGGCTTAGGAATGCTGTAGACGTTGCCCCGGTTATTAAACTGGAAGTTCTTCTTCAGGTGCAGAGTAAAGTTGCCTGCGGCGTCGGTCGTGCAGGATACCCGGGTCAAAGTGGGCTGGCCGCACGAAGGGCAGAATTGCTTGGTGGTGTCTTTGCAGACTTTCCAGCAGCCGTGGCAGCGGAGAACCCAGGTCTTGAGAACGGTGATGCGCGCAAAGGAGGAGTCGAGCAGGTTTAGGTTGATGCGGAGGGAGACGTTGCGCATGGCCATGTCGGAGGTGATGAGGGCTGCTTGGAGCGTCTTTTGGAGTGGCTCGGGGGCGATTTGGGTGGATTCGCGGGCTTGGACCTTTTTAATGTTTGTGGGGGCTGTAGAAAGCATGGCATGTTAGCAGTTGTTGATAGGTTCGGGAGAGATGAAGGTAGCTTACTGATCCATTCGCCATCGTCGTCAGAGGCTTCACCATCGTTCTCCTCTTCCTCCTCCTCCTCGTCCTCCTCAGGAGCAGGTGTCGTCTCCTGCTCTTGGCTTCCGATATCCAACTTCTCAAGCTGTTCCTCCACCTGCTTGACCTCCTCGGTCTTCTCCTCGGCAGCCTTCTCCTCCGTTACGGGAGCAGTAGCAGCCTCAGTCTGTCCTTCGGTTGTTGTCTCACCTTCCTTAGCAGGCGGCGCACCATTAACGCTCTTCTGACTAGGCTCTTTCCTCAACCGCCAATCACCACCATTCCTCTCGCACTCGAGATCGTACGTCAAAGCGATCAGGTGGATATCGGGCTTGGAGAGGACCATAAGGTCACCGGTGCGGCGGGCGAAATCGGTGACGAACTTGATAGATTCCGGGCGGGGGGTGCGGAACTTGAGGAAGGGCATGAGGGTGGTTTGGAATCGGAGTCGGGCGGCCTCATCGCGGACTGCAAAGGATACACATGTCAGTATGGATGTGTCTGGGTCTGGGTGCATTGCGATGGGGATAGAGGGGGGTGAACATACTTTCTGATACTACCGAGGGAATGGTGTAAAGCTCCTCGGCCTGGGCGATAAGGGTAGAAACGCTGGGGTCGTTCTTGATGATGACGTTGGCGTCGATGACGAGCGAGTGGACGGGCTTGGTGGTCGTCGAGGTAGCGGCAGCGGCAGTGGCAGCGGGCGCGGATGCAGGCGCTGTGGTGGTGGGGGCGGGGTTCGGGCTTTGCGCCGCGTGTTCGGCGACGGGAGTATCCATGATTGCGGTGTTGTAAATGTCGTCGGTGATGGGTTGACTGGTGCGAATGGCGTCTGGAATTCGTGATGCTGTTCGGTGGGTTGGTGAATGGCGGGGTGCGATAAGGTGCTAGTATCAGTGGTGTTGGTGGTGCAGTGACGGGAGTTCGAATGCGGTCGCCCAAAATTCAGGCGGAATCTGGTGGCAGAATTTTCTCTGCTATCGATTGTCAAATTGTCGACGTGAACAGCGGGGTGCAGAAGTGTTCGTTGGGTTCTAGAAGGACATTGTGATTGGGCAGATATGGACCACAGAACCCCTTCCTGCTGTCTTGGCATCTAAACTGCTCTGGGTCCTAGTCTATACAGCGAGAGCTTCAGTGAGCTTCACAGCGAGTGGCTTCACCTGTGCACACCCGACTTCCCCAAGTCCAACCTCTCTCCATTGCATCGTGCCATTCCGACCCTTCATCTAACCGACACTTCGGTTGTCATCGTTTGTGATTATCATCAGATCCGTGTGACTCTCAAGCGAGGTTATTGGCAGTCATCACATCGTTGACCCTTCTCGAGAGAAGTACATGACAGATGTTCCCCGTCCTTCCTCTTCCGTGTCTCTTTGCCGGGCCGTCTTTTGCCTTGGATGTTTCAAAGCGCAGCAAGCGATCAAGTTCTTGCATACCCGGCACTTTATCCACGTCTACCCTTTATTTTTCTCAACTCAAGACATCAACTCTGCCGTCCCTTCGTTGCACTCATTGCAAGCTCAAACTCTCCTTTTCATTCCACCGCTTCCTCAGACATATCTTCTTCAAACAATATCCCATCGTGTCATGAGTTCCTCCACCAATGTTATCTGCCTGCTCGCTTCTTCCGATCCCTGAACTAAACACAAGCGAGCTGACATATTTGATGGCTGAACACTGTCACCAGAAGGGAAAAGACTCGCCCGGCCCGAACCAGTTATCAAGGGTCTGGTTTGGATTCTCGCTTGCAAGGGTATGACGTGCTGCCTTTGCATGGGAACATCTTGAGGAGCCTCCTTTTTGTGTCTCAGTTTTGTTGCGGTGTTCTCTTTCTTTTCGGACATTGTCTCAGAGACCTCAAACTGTCAAGTTGAAGAGACACTGGAGTTGAACTGTGACAACACCAACTCACCACGGTAAACACCGACTTGGCAATATCTGTCTGGTCCCAGACATTCGGTTAACTCTTCCCCATGATCGTTCAGCCGAACTGCTTCCCTATTCCTTGATTTGTCCTCATCTTCCTCGCTTCGACCCTACAAGTCTTGGCCCTTTCTTGGTCTCCCTCACACATGTGGCCCTAAGCGATCGTCGCTTACTCTAAAGAGAAAAGGGTAAAGCCTGTCCCATACACGGCCCCGGTGCTCTCGCAATGACATCTTCGTTTCCCTTTCAGCTAATCCACCCGATATTATAATGGTCGGCCCGCGTGAATGGCCTCGCTTGTTGACCAAGGAGCCTAGAAGTTAGTTGGTCTTGCATTGTCTGTGCGCATGGCCTTTACATGAAAACCAGCCGTGCCTTAGGAACTCATTTCTCATTTAAGCTTTTCGAAAACTTTGATATCACTCTTATATCCCCGGGCTCATCAATGGAACCTTTGTCCGTCACTCCTGTGTGTCGTGCCTCTCCCCACAAGGCAGACCTCTCCAGGGTCCAGCTTCGTGATTCCGTTCCTTAGGTTGACCGTCTTTTATCCCCCAAAAACTGCTACCACAAGTTCAAGAGTCATGGCCCAACCATCCGTTGAGGATGTACGACGACAAAATGGCCTCATCATTGCCTCTGCTGTCATGATAGCCGTGGCCGGTTAGTGACCCCTTGGCCGTTTTCTTACTCTTTTCTTTCAATCATCCTGACAGGCTTCAGTGCTGTTCGTCCTCCTCCGATGCGTCAGCAGGTTCATCCTCATCCAAAATCCCGGCCCAGATGACTACTTTATTATTGCTGCCATGGTGAGTCTCATGTGGTTCAAAATCCACAATGCAATTGCTGATCATAACAGGCCCTTACTCTCGGCTATCTCATCAACCTTGTCGTCCTCACTCACAATGGCATCGGAATGGCAATGTCGACGCTCACTCTAGATAACATGGTCAACTTCCTCAAGATTACTCTCGCTATTCAAGTGATGTATTATGCGAACGTCTTTTGCATCAAGGTGTCCATTCTCTTTACCTACATCCGGTTTGGTAGGCCACAACAAGCCATAACGTACCTACAGTGTTCATTGACTAACTCTTCCAAGCCGTGACACGCACCTTTCGTTACCTTTGCATCGGAACAATCATCCTACACATTGTATTTCTTCTTGTTTGCGTTATCACCACTCTGGCACAATGCCAACCTCTTCACAAGATGTGGGATTTTACCGGTGCTGTTGAAGGTACTTGTATCAACACGACTGCCTTCTTTTACTGTGAGTCCTACACTCTTCTCTTTTCCCTTCCCCTCCCGAACCCCTTGTGTCTCACCCACTCATTTCCTAACAACCACCACAGTCACATCCGCCTTCAACATCCTCACCGACCTCTGGATCCTCCTCCTTCCCATCTCCACCCTCCGCGAAATCAACCGTCCCACCCGCGAAAAGATTGCCCTCTTCCTCATCTTCGGCGTTGGAACATTCGCCGCCGTCGCCTCCATAGTCCGTCTACACACCATCTACATCTACACCCTAGCCGAGGACCCGTTTCACGAGGGGATCAATGTCAACCTCTGGTCCATGATCGAGGTCACCATCGCCATTTCGTGCGCTTCGGTATCAGCGCTGAAGCCAATATTTAGTGGACGGCAGAGGAGACTCACGCGGGGAGCGAGGGGTGGAAGGGGTGGTGGATATACTTATGGAAGTTACGGAACGGGAACATGGACAGGGGCAGATAATACTGCAAAGGGGAATGTGTCAGGGTCAGGAGGGAGAAGGAGTACAGGGACGTGGTTTAAGAAAAGCAAGGGGAGTAACGGACTAGATACACAATCCAGCGAAGACGGATTACATGCATATGGCGAAGAGGCGGAGTTGCAGAAGCTGGGCTCGCGTGCGGACAGCCATCGTAACGACCAGGCAGAAAGGGAAAAAGAGAAGGAGTTCACACAGGGACATAAGGAGTATCGAAGATGGGTACACTCCTCCCACTCTCGCCTCGGAAGCCGCGATAGCCAGAACCACCATCACGACCAACAACCACATCACGGGAGACAACACTCCCGCCAACACTCCCGCCAACAATCCTCGCTCTCTTCTCCCAACGGCCACACCCAAAACTTGCCCACCCCCGACGGCGACGGGGACACCTCCTCCATCTCCATCTCCCTCCCAATCCAACGTCCCAAACCAGCCGCCGCCGCCATCGGCATTGCCGTAGCAATAAACCAAACCCGTCCCCTTTCACCACCACCACCGCCGCTTTCACCAAGTTTCATGCCGCCGCACATGAGTTACCAACATAAAGGCCAGCAACCATATCTCTACAAAACGAGCAGGGGCGATAACCACCTGCAGGGACATGGAAGATGGGTGGAAGTGGAAACGGCTGATACGAGGACTGTGTATACCCAGGGTGAGGATTACACCTTTGTATAGACCTGGGGGTGGTGGGAGTGGGAGGACTAGGGGCATGTCGGAGAGTATGAGTAGTAAGAATGGCGGTGGGCTACCGCACGGGCAAGGGCAGGGGCAGGATAGGATATGGGCGGGACAGGAGGTTAGGCAGGAGGTTACGCAGGAGGCTAGTACACAGGGTCAGGATAGGAGAAGGCCGGGAATGGTCAAGAGATCGAGTAGTTCGGGGAGTATTTTGGTTTTGCAGAAGTAAATATGTCTTTTTACGTCTAATGCTACATATCACTTGTTCAAAGCCGCTCGGAGGCATGAAACATTCTACGATGGTGGTACTCGTCAATGACATTCCGACTTCCTTTCACTCCCAAGAAAAACAGGTCAACACGGGCCAGTCCTAGACGCAAGTTCTTACCACCAACTCCTATCATAGAGTTCTACTACGTTCGCTAAGGGGAACCCTCCGCGCACACCCAAAAACTCCCTACGCACACTCAATAAGTAGATGTCCTGGGGCACCCAATAAGAAATGAAGCTACAGACCTATATATACCGGTTTTTTTTTCGTATATTTCTTTTTTCGTAGGCCGTTTAAGGAGGCCCAATATTGTTTTTTTTTGGGGGGGGGGAAACTCTTAGCTTTTTCGTAAGGAAGTGCTTAATTAATTTGGTAATAAGTACTCACCTACTCTTTATCCAGCCGGAGTCAAAAAAAGAAGCCAAGTGCAATGAATTCAAGGAAGAGACAATGATGAAGGCTTTCTAGGGAGTTGAAACTCTATAACTAACTTTTCGTCTTCAATGTGGCAGAAGGGAGGGTGCAAATATGGTCACTTCTTCTTTAGGGGCCTGCTATTTTGGGTGTGCATGGGGAGTATTTGGGTATGCGCGGAGGGTTCCCCTTCGCTAACCTTGCCTTGGTAGCTTTTCGCCTGGTTGTGAGTAAATGATACCTCTGACCGGCGAGATAAAGGCTCAGGTTTTACACGTTTGTTTCCGGTCGAACAGCTACATGTCATCCTGGACCTTGGACCTTCTCTTCCAAAATGGCCTTTTCTAGCTTCCACCTAGGCAGGAAGGTAGCAAAAAGGACACTGGCACCAGAAAGGTGTTGACAGCAACAATACCTCCAGCGAACATGAACCGAGAACTCCATGCCCGTGGAATGCTCTACCAAGGGCGCATCTAGTATTACTAGCAGTCTACCACCGTCGCCAATACCTCTTGCACACCCCTAAACTCTTCCGCAACCGCCTCTCGCGCGTCTCACCTCCAGTTCCAACGGCTTCTCTGATCCAGGTAATATCCCAATAAACACAACCACTGTCAGAGTCAGCCAGTTCGTCCCTGATATTAACCCTTTGCGTCTCGAATACCACGGTCCAGAGTCTACACTCATCCTCCTTTCCTCTCTTCTCTAAGGACAACCGCCTCTACCGCTATCGCTCGCTACCTCCGATGGAACTTTGGACTTGGAACCTTGGATCCGTCTACCAACGTATCGTCTGCCTATCACTTCTCGAGTTCGACGGGGCCTGTATTGGGCACGGCTCACAGGACTCAGAAGTTCGGATCTCCAGTTGCCCTCATTGAAGATGGCCTTGAATATGCGAAGGTGTCTGTCTGTCTGATTGAGCTCCCATCCGTAGGCCGGGAAAGGGTCGGGAAAGGGTCGGGAAAGGGTCGGGAAAGGGTCGGGAAAGGCTGGGGAATGGCTCGGGAGCAGTCAAGGCAGCCTCATCCGGGGCCTCATCCTCATCCGGAGCCGGGGCCGGGGCTGGAACTTGAGGTATGAAGACGGCCGAGACAGGGGAGATCGACCTGTGCGCCTGAACAACACCACGATCCGCAAAGACTGTCGCCACGCAGCCCACGCCGTCTCTCCCGAAGATCCAAAACTCCCATCCAAAGTCCCCATCCAAAGTTCCCATACAGAGTTCCGATCCGATGTGATCGTGTTGTTGGTGTTGTTGGTGTTGTTGCTGTTCCTGTTCTGGTGCTGTTACTGCGGCTGTTGAGGTGTGGTGTTACTGATGTTGTAGTTGTGGCTGTTCCGCGGCTGCCCGGCTTCTACAACTGTGATGGTCCCAGGCTGTCGGTGTGGGTGTCGGTTGATGGGCACTGGTGGTGTTGATTGGCGAGTGGATGGACCTGGAATGGAAGACGGGCTCTTGTTCTTGTGGGTGAGGTGGTGGTAGGTAATGTGATGATTAACATCCACAAGATGATCAATCCTCAAGTCAGGATTATCTTCGATCCGACCATGGTTGCTGTGGTTGAGGGGCCCGAACGCTGTGGTGTTTGTGGTGTTGTGGTGCTCATGGTGTTTTGGTGGTCCGGTGGCCAGGGGGATGAAGGACCAACATTGTTAGACCAGCGATAGTGGCCTCTTGGTAGGATGTGACTTCCGTCAAATAGATCCAAGGATGTTTAAAACACCAGGCGTGCCGCAAATGCGGCTTCTTGGTCCCGGTGACCATCGCGCATGTAGTGAGCCTTCAGATCAGAAAGGAACTTGTAGCCCTTGTGACAGATGAAGCACCCCAGCTCTGTCAGCCAGCCGAAAAAGCAGTCCGATGGGCGAGGTGTTGAATAGAGCTATGAAGACCTGCTGTGTCGCAAAGTGGCTGAGGCATATGCGAATGTTCCTTGGTTTTGGAGTAGGAGAGAGGAACATGATTGACCTGGGGCAATGGAAATCCCACCTCTCTCGGAGCTTCGTGCGGACGCAGGTAGTGAGAGAAGCTGATGCTGGTGTCGGATACTTGGCCAAGTGTTAGCCTAAGCGCCGATGTCATCATGGTCTCTATGACCTTGAACACGGCGCGAATCGCACAACGGGCGGTGCTGATGGTAGCACAGGATGATGCCAAGGGCGAATTGCAGACCAACGCCTTATGGGTAATGCTATACCCTTTTTGTGTCCATTCTTGACATCCCACCGCAAGGCTCTGCCCTTTGTCGTAAACGTCAAACCTGGATTTGACGCCATGGGTGGCGTTGTAGCCGAACCGACGTAGATAGCTGAATGATGACCCTCCTTCTGCAGGACCAGGAGATATGCGGCCCGTCGCTGGTGGCTATGAGGCCGGTGAGAGGGCGACGAGGGAGCGGACACAGTGGGGACGGTCATCCATGTGTTCATCCTGAGCGATGAATGGGAAACAACACCATGTCGCCGGCTGTGCTAGTACCAGTCTTGACTTCTCGTCTGATCGTAGTGGAAAGATGGCCATATCATCCCCAAGACACCCTTTTCTCCCAACAACATATCCTGACGCTAATCGATCTTTCCAGGTTCAGTCTCTAGAGCATTTGCCAATGTTCAGATCAGTTCTCGTCTCATATATCCGCCTCTCAGGTATACCAACAAGACAATTATGCCATGTCCCCAGTTGTCTTCTGCTATTCGAGTGTCTTCTCGTCCCAAGAGAGTGACGCCGGGGTAACTCGTCTCGACCGTAGGTTCTCTCTGATCGTAGGTTCTCTCTGAGCGTAGGTACCTCTAGGTTGAATCCCGCGTTCCTCCCAACTGATATTATACCGTAGAGGTAGCCTGACCATTTTTGATGGGAACATCCAAGATGGGAAAGGCGGAACACAGTACAGAGATTATCCGCCGCGTTCATATTGAGCTCCAAACCATTTATGCGATTGCGTTTGCAACCTCGGGCATGCAGAATGAATGGTCGTGGCGCCTCCCAAGCGCCTCCCAAGCTCTCCCAAGCGTTTTGCAGCTGCAGGCCATCCACTTCTACCCTGAGCTACCAACCTGGGCGGCGCTTCTTTTGGGTATGCGTGGTATGCAAGGCGTCCGCCTGATATAGTGACTGGGTATGTAGCAGGTTGCTTCAATCTAGTAGCGGCGTGGACCTGGTGCACATGGGCTCCCGACCACCGCTTTTGACGGGTGTCTCCCCCATCGGCAGCGATATACATATATCCACATGGCACGGGGTATGCACGCATGGTTTCCGGACCATCAGAGCAGGAGGGAGATAAATCTCTGCTGTCCAAACACACGGCCATCGGTGATGAAAACGGTTACACACTTACGCACAAGAAGATGCTGATGTCCACGCCGGTACCATCAGGCGTTTAGCTGCGATGTCTGCCCCGGTATGAGCTGGCAGAAAATGTGCGACCACGACTCCCATCAGCGCATATTGCACCTCCACGCCCATCATCAATGGATGCCGCCGCGGCCAATCAGGAAACCCTGTGTGGCGACATCGCATTGCTGGAGCCTTGAGTTGTACCCACCTATTTTGTCTTCCCCGGCTCCCCATGCCGTCTTCTTCAGAAAAGACCCGTGGACTCTCTATTCTTTTACGGCGTGTGTGGGTTCTCGTATACGGTAAGAACGCCGTGGACTTTGCCGTAGGCGCTGGGCCGCTTTCAACATGGCACCTAAATATGTCCCATGCACGTCAAGTGGAAAACGTGACTCATCTCCGGTCCTTACTCGCTTGGGCACCTGTGTCGTGTCATCTTCAAGCTCGTCGTGAGTGTCTTCGCTGGCCTCTCTCTTTCTCCGGGCAGGTTTCCCCAGAATAGAGGCCGAGCTTAGGCGTTTGGGTTGCCATGGTAGGAAAGCAGAAGCCGAAAAGAACAAAGCAGATGAAGGAGTTGTCCTTCAGTTTAGCCTTCTTCTTGTTCGTTGGTACATTATCTATAACTCTTGGCTAGGGGCTCCAGGAGCTGCCTCTACAGCCTCTTCGTGGCCCTTGGTACAGTGGCAGGCTTTCCCACGCGACAACTTTTGTCTACATCAAGTTCTGGTGCTGGGACAACAAGAGGTGATATAGCAAAGGCCGTGACGATGGAGCCGCCCACCATGGTGTCTCATTGTCTCTGACTGCCATGACATGAACGGTGTGGGTTGGTAGACTCCAGTTCTTTGTTCTGGGCGTTGCTAGCCCCTGTTCGGCATGTGAACAAACTTCCCTTTCGGGTGTTTGGTTGCGGAACACCCGTAGCCGAGCCCTTTCAAGGCACTTGTTCAGGCACAGCGCATACAATCTACAGCCCATGGCTTCTTTTCATTAGCATAGGCCAGTAGATGTTTGTTTTGATGTCGTGTTACGGTCTCCACAATGTTCAGGTGCCGGTGTAGTCGGCGCAGAGGAGCTGCAATCGCTTCAACAAGCAGCCGGAGCCTTTCCTGACCAGCGTGGCACCACCACTGGGAACGCAGTTGATGGAGAAGCCTCAAGGAACAAAACCTGATAGCCCACTGCAAGCATAAAAGCCTTTAGCTTGGGGTAACATGATGTGTTGTGAACGTGGTGGTCGAGTGTCCCGGTTCCGTCGGTTTTGATGCTTTCCGTTATCGCCCGCACCAAATTTGCCTCTCCGCACGCCAAGTCCATTCTAGGCACCTGAAATGCTGTTATGATGATTCTCTGGCGTATTCTACCTCTTCCACATTATTTCTTGTATAAATCAGTCGATCGATCGTGCGGCTCGGTCGGTAGTCGTTACATGAAAGGATGGAGAATGTTAAGGTGATGATAATCCACGGAAGATCAGACTTCCATTGACAGCAAAATGCACACTTGCAGAAGGCTTCGTAGTCCATGGGGTTGCATGTAGGGAGTACGTCACGCTTGGGCAGTAACGGCATGTGCATCAATGTATTTTCTACCTCTGCATGTACCAAGCCAACATCACATAATCAGCGCCTCCCAAAGCGTTCAGGTACCTCTACAGAAGACACAGGCAGCCCAGCAACACACAAGTCAAACACTCCGACAGAAGATACAAGAATTCCGACAGACAACACAAGCACTCTAACAGATTATGGCATCAGCCGACCCCCGGGACGAGGGAGGCTGGTTGCATGTTGCCTCCCCGTTGAAGAGAAGGGAAAAGGGGTCGGCTAATGATAGGTCATCGGATGTCGGAATATCGTCTGCTTCTAGGGTTAGCCTACCAAAACTGTGTTGGGGTGTTGACTATGGTGTAGGTACCTAGTCCTCCTCGAGAGGGTTAGGCTTGGTGGCCAAACCGACGTAAATAGCCGGACGGTGACCCTCCTTCTGCAGGACCAGAAGATAGACCGCCCATCGCTGGGGGTAGCGACACCGCTGGCAAGGCCACCATTGACCTCACGACGCTCATGGACGGCCTCGGCGAGCTCCTCGAGAGTAGACACGGTGGAGTCCCAGTCGATGCATGCATCGGTAATGGAGACGCCCTTCTTGAGGGCAGAAGGGCCCTCGGCGGGAACTCTGGTTGTTCATGTTGTCGTTGGTGGTGGTTGTGGTAGTGGTAGTAGTGTTGGTGTTGGTAATGATGCTCCAAGAGCCACCGTGATGTTTCGTTAGTTCGTGAACTTCCTGGACTGGTCGACGAGTTAAAGGTGGACATACCATCGACGTCGCCACGAAATACTCAACACTTCCTGAGCGAGTGGCACTTGTTTGTCGCCTACAAGGATGACTGTGAGACGGGGCTCACATGCGTCTGAATGGAGTGATGGAGTCAATGTTTGGGTCATGGTAACACCAAAAGGCGGATTGGGCATTGCGTGATGGCGAGAAGAGCGACACGGGCAAAAAAGCCAGGGGAAAGCAGCGCGGAATCATTGGGACTCTTTCATCTCGTTCGGAGGCTCAGTTGCCACTTGCATTCCTCTGATGATTGCATGGCCATGCGAAGCCGCGAGAGTATCCCAAGGCCAGGAAAAGTTGCCGACTGGGACCGGTGATGCGGGGGAGGGTGGTACTCACTCTTCGCGATGGAAGTTCAAAACCCAAAATTTGAGTTTGGCTGTGGCCTGGCCGTGGCCTTGGGAGGCCAAAGGCCTTCGAGAATATTGAAAATGTTGTGATGAGGAGGAAGAGGGAAAGACAGGAGTCTCTTGGGAAAAAGATGCGGAGGGAAAGGATGGGAGGGGTACTTGAGAGAATCTTGAGGGGCGAATGGGCTCGAAGGTCGATCTTGCCAGCGAGAAAGCAGCCATGCCGTCTCGTCTGAAAGTTCCTTCCTTGTTTCCAACTTGCAAACTGCTTTGCAAGTCGCCTGACAAACTCGGAGTGCGGTACGTACTCCTTACGCGTGGATGCTCATCTCCAGCCGGAGCACATTCTGCAGGACATGATCGAGGACATCGGTCAACAGGAATCGTCATCTTGGACAACAACCCAACCATAGAATTCTTTCAAACTTTGACAGTGGACTTTCAAGATCTTCAAAGTTGTTCCCTCAAGTTTTCATGGTCCAAATAGCTTTCCTCCTGGTTGAGATACGGGTGCTCCGTTAAGCTGCACATGATCAACTTGGACTCGCCCTGGGCAAGTGTGTGTCCTAGACACGATCCACTGGAACCGGATGGAAGTATGGTGTGACAAGAAAAAGAAAAAGTACAAAATACATCAGACGAGCGTGTCATTACCGAGACGAATCTTTCAGTGCAAAGTGCCCCGCTCGCGTGGTCCATAAAGACCCCTCTACCCCCCCAGTCCTTCGTCCTTCTTCTTCCTCCTTCATCATCATTTTTCTTCAACTCAACCTGCCACACCAAAAATGGCACATTCAAGACCGAGGGCGCCGCCAGGATGTGCACCCAGAACGTCCTAGCCACCCACCTCTGCAAAAAATGCTGCTCCCCCATGTCCAACACTACCTCCAGTACACAGGCCGCCTCATTGTCTTCTCTTGCATCTTCGTGAGTGGTCTTCTTTCTCGTCATGTCACCAAACCGGGACTAACACGAACGGGGTAAAATCGAAGCAACGGGCGCCACCTTCCAGCCTCAGGACACGCGGGCATCCAACCTCATGCTGTAAGTCCACACTGCCCTCAGTTTCGTCCTCTTCCCCTTGTTTTCTTCTGGCCTATTCTGACCTTTCTCTCACATCAGCAAGAAAGCCGCCTCCTGGCTGGAGCAGGCCAAACAATTGGCGGGAGCAATATCCCATTGTCTTGTTGGTGTGACCGGCGCAATGGCTCGAGTGAGAGCCTCGACCAGTACCCAACGCATCGTTGGTGTGGTTAGTACCTCCCTCCTCCAACCAAGACCAAATACCTGCCTCTCACCACCAGGCCATTGGAGAAATTCAGCTGACTCGCCGTCCAGAAACGACAAGCCCATCGTCTGGGCCCAGGAGGGGCCTCTTAACGCCGGTCCTTGGAGGGGCCCCTCCGCTGGCCCCTGGTCTTACACACAGCCTCGTCTCGAGATCCTCCTCTCTGCTGGTATGACTGGGGGCCGGCGCATTGCCTTGCTGTGGTGGCCGGGGTATTGTCTTGTTGGTGTGGCCGGCGCATTGTCTGTTGTGGCCGGCGCAGCGCCGGAGGCTGGAGGTGTGTAATTGTACTGTAGTCTTTCTCTTTCTCTTTCTCTTTCTCTTTCTCTTTCTTTTTCTCCGGAAGGGAGTGCCGGTGAATGGGAAGTCCAGTGAATGGATGTCAAAGGCATGTAGATACCTCTAGAACAGCTTTTGCCTTTCACTTCACACTCGCCGTCATCATTGTGTTCATTGTGTCCATTGTGCCATGCCATCCACCCAAAAACATTCACCACTACATCGTTTCTGGACTCAGGCAATACCACCTCCACAATGGCATCAAGTGGGACACTCAGGCAACCCTTGGCGATTATGCCCACAGAATGGACAAAACTGCCAATACCAAGCATGATGATGTTCTGGCCTTCAACTAGCACCCAAGACACTCAACAAGACATCATCACCACCGGTTACAATTTTGGAGATATCATGGAGATTCAGTGCCAAAAAGGCCTCAGTTCACAACGCAACACTTTCAAACAGGTCACTTATCGTAGGTCATCTCCGACTGGCATGACACTCGAGGACACTTGCGGGTTGTGAGGGCACCCTTCAGCATGAGGTTTTGGTTGATGACATCTTCGATCACGAAGCCCGGTCTCTCCTTGCGAATCTGTCACGGGGTGGCAGTCACGGGTCCTGGGTGCTTCAAGTGGAAGTCTCAGTCTCAGGCCTGCCCCAACCGAGTTTTCACTTTCCTACGCGATGGCAACTCATGGTCTCCTTTCCCGAAGTCCTGAGAGGCTGGACACTGGCCGCACATCCAGTGAGGGCAGCAGTAAAAGGCTAAACTGTCCGGTACGGTACCAGCGGTATGCTCACAGGAGAAATAAGGAGGAGCTCTGATGCTGCTTCCTGTCATGTTGGACAACTGGTTGCCTCCAGCACCTTGAGGACCACCCTGTGTCTCGCCATCGATCACGATCCGTAGTAGCCTGCTGCTCCTGCAGGCGCGCCTTCCCGTACAGAAAAGAGCCGGAACAGATTTTGCGAGATTGCGGTCATTTCACCAGTTCCATGATCGCCGATCGATGAACACGGGAGGATGTCAGAATCTTGAGTAGGGGCAGTCACGTCTGGTAACAGCAGGATAACAGGACTCATTGCCGTGATAGCCACTGCCAAACCAACCGGGCAATCTGGCCCGGTCCTCTCACTTGTCTACGCGATGGCAATTCATGGCTTCCGCCTCTGGAGTCCGGAAAGCAAGGCCAGAGCCTTCTCTCGCCAGCTGCGCCGGCTTGGGAAGCAGTTGAATTACCAACACTGCAGGACATTTCCAGGCGGAAAAGGAAAGAAGGATCCTTGGAAGCTGCTTGCTCTATTGTGCAGCGGGCTAGCCGCATCTGGCTGGTCACCGGGCACATACCGGTACTCTCCCGATCCGCAAACTGTTTCAATCTCTACGGGGCGTGCGTGCCTTCCGTTATTTGAAGACGCAGAGCAGAGCTTTCAAGCTTTCGAGATTGCTCCAGAGCCGTAGAGGTACTCGCATGGGCAGGTCGCGCGGGAGTCTGGACTCTGATAGTCCAAGTGGAAGGTGATTGACTGCAGTATCGCGTTGAGGAACGCGACTTCCACTTCCATCCCGTCTCAAGAGACGTCTAAGTAGACGCCCCACAGCCGAGTGTCTTTTAATCCCCAAGTTCCCCTCTCCAACACGAACTTCCTCCTTTCTTCACAAACTTCTCCCTCCATTTCCAGAACCAACTCTGAGCACTTCATGCTTCGCGAACTTCTTCTCCCACTTCTAGAAACAACTTTGAGCACTTCACCAGTTGACGAGTTGTTTCTTGACTCGTTTTCTCTCCTTATATCTTTGTCGGACGCAATTGAGATCCGCGTCACGACGGTGACGACCAAGATCACCACCAAGCACGTCCCTCTTCCACTTCATCCCTCATCTACAACCTTCTCTGCGTCTCGTCTTCTCGGCCAGAGGTTTCGTACCTTCGCAAAGCTCCTCGTCACTGGGTACAAAAGCCCGCTCTTTGTCTCGAGCGCCGCCGCACCGCTGCCCGATAGAGGGCAAAGCTTCCTCGCTGTCTGTGAGTTTGACTGCCATGTCCAAGTTGTGTCAGAACACGTCAAGCAGCCCCTCTGCCTCTATACCTGTAGGTTGCGTCTTCTAACATCAGGGATCCCAGACTCAATATGACACGATCAAAAGACCCGTCAGGACGACAGCACCATGGTTTGCCCGTGGATGAGTGAGTGCCAACTTTGTTCTCATCGGTAGTGGCCTTGTCTTCTCTGAGTTGTCCCCTGTCCTCGCTTCAAGTTCCTCTTGTGCAACAAGAGACACTGGCCTGGTACAGTGCATCAGCCCAGGGACCCTACCTACCCTTTAGACGCACACACACACACACACACACACACACCCGCGCGTCTGTCATCGAAGAGAGCTCAGCTCACTAACACTTCCAACAATCCAGTGACGAACACCCCAGCACCCCGTACAAGTCACTCGGCCAGACCCTCACTGGCAAGCAGCAAGTGGAGCTGCGGAGAGCCATACAAATGATGATGTTGGACCAGTGGAAGGCCAAGAAAAAGAAGGAGGAGGATGAGGAGGCCAAGGCCGCCCAGGGCGGTGGGAGCAAAGATGCCCCCAAGATCACTGCGGGAACGTGGCTTGACGAAATGGAAGGAGACTAAGGGCGTTCAAGGAAATGCAGAAACACGCCGAGGTGCTACAGAACGAGACGAAACGTGGCTTTGACCGTTATGTCCAAAGGAGTTGGAAGCTGTAGTGTAGAGGTACGTTCTTGGTACTTGCTACCTCTTTTTTCATTCTCACGGGTACGGGAAGGGTGAAGACCTCCTTGACCTTCGCGGACAGCTTCTTGGCCGCGGAAAACATGGAATCGAATTCCATGCGTACAAATACGACGAGGTTGAGGGATGGTTCCAGCAGACGGCAGCGATGAGAGTACCGAGAGGGGGGACTGGAGGATTTCCTCCGAGCAGAGTGGTGGGACTGGTAGGGTCATAAAACCGGTGATCGTTGAAGCTAGAGGTAGATGGGATTCACGCATGGTTATCTTGTATATTAGTCGGACTTTGTTCCTTTTCTTTTTCCTCTTCTTTTCTTTTCTTCTTCTACCAATCAAGACATTCATTGCCTCTTTCGTCTTCTCTCGTGATCACTTCTTCCCTAAAACCTGGTTCAACAACAGCTAAGCGAAGCAAAGACCAAAACAAGTGTTGTCCCGTCTTCTGTACTCTGGCATCCTGAAGTGCTCCTTTGTGGACAAAGTTTGCAAAGACTAGGGTTGACTGACGACGGAAAGCGAACGGGAACAACTGATTACATTTGGTCGAATCAATATCCCTCGGCTCCAGTTGCTCCCTTCGCTTCCATTCACGGCCTTCTTTGGTCGACGCATGTTCTTTCCTGTAACGTCTTTCTTTCCACACTGTTGATCCATGCCAGTATCTGGTATGACGAAGTGGTTTATGTTATAAGGGATCAGGCCAGACATTATAAACATCGAAATGGTCATCGATCTGATTGAGGAAGGCATTCACCTCAGGCGCATATCACCAACTTCCATTCACCATGACCAATGTGTAATGTGTCATGTGCTTGTAAGTCAGAGAACCCAGTCCAAAACATTCCAGCTTTGATCAACCAAAAAGGAATGGAATGGAAACGTAGGAGGACAGGAAAGAAAACCAACCAAAAAAAAGAGAAAAAAGATGATGTCGTCCTTCTCACGAAAGGAACATCGGGAATTGAGCCCGACGTGGGGGTCGGAAACCCACAACCTTGAGATTAAGAGTCTCACGCTCTACCGATTGAGCTAGCCGGGCGGTTTGTTAACCGCCATTGGATGTTGAATGGGGAGACTGCGAATTGGGTTAAGGAGTCTGGTGCAAGTGGTGGAATTTGTGTGGTGCTGTGTGGTGGCGATGTGAAAAAGGTTTTTGGTGGTGGATGTTTTGATGCCGGGCGGTCCCTTGTTGGGGTGGTGGATCGCAGGGATCTGGTGGGGATGATTTAAGGCAGTTCAGGGGTTAGATCATTGGATGAACACTTGGAGATGGAGGGTTAGGGTAGGATGGGGGGAATGGGGACCGAGGGCATGACGGGGGTGGGATGGACACTTGGGGATTAAAAAGGCAAATTGCAGAGGTTGAGGCATACTCTAGTAAAGGGAGGAAGAAGATTTGAAGATTGAGTTTGTGAAAGATGTGGTCATTATGTGCTAGTCGTTATCGAGAGTAAGTTTCCAGAGCCGTATTTTCGTCCATCATTCCATGTCTTCATGCCATCAGTCGTATCATGTCTTGTCCGGAACTCTCCTCCTCTCCAGCGCTTTTCCACCATAAGGTATGTACAGCCGTATTAGATCCTCCATAACTCATAGTTCCCTCCGTTGCCTCCCCTCTATTGTCTCTTGGAGGTTGACTTAAGCGCAAAGAGTCAAAACAACATCCCCCTTACTTCCACACACCTTCGTCTGGCTTCCAGCCGGCTGCGTTCCCTGAGCCCACTCAATAGCTCCACAGCTTCCGGTACCCTTGCCCTCAACACGGACCTTATGGCCCTTGAGCGCGTCTCCAAAGACGCTGGACAGATCATACCAGATGTTATCGCCATCAAGCGAGTACGCGAAGATGAGCTCGGGAGCGCCCGTGTACAGGCCGTCGGAGGTGGTGGTGATCTTCAAAGCCTTGCCGCCTGTGACGGGGTCCTTAACGAATTTCTCGCTGTAGGAACCGCTGCTGGCCTTGAGGGCAACGGGCGCCGAGACGGTGGACCCGACGGACCAGAGAGTGACGGGGAAACCGCACTTGTTGTTGACGATGGCGGCGCCGACGGTGCTGGGGACAGTGGCTGCCAGGGCGGGAGAGACGGCCGCGGTGGCGAGGGCGAGGAGGGTGGTGAGCTGCATTTGTGGTTGGTTGGGGTTGGTTTGGGTTGAGTTTGGTTGTTGGTGAAGATGAGAAGTGGTTTTGAGTGTGAGTCTTTTGAGATTGAGACTTGTTTGGGTTGATGGTAAGAAGAAGAGACTGAATGAAAGCCGAGGAGGTTGGACCTTATATACACCGAAGCCCCCCAGTCCTGAACCGATGTCATCGAGTGGGTTAACAAGAACGTTCCCACAGAACGAGATCGAACACGGGAAGATGGTTACATCCCATCCAAACTTGCCTCGAAATAGCATCCATCTCGTTGAGATGTCACATGGTGGGGGCTGGAGGGGGAGTAGGAGTGGACGGTGAGGTGAGATACCAAGTCCCAACACGAGAGAAGACCCGCTATTGACCGACGTGTTACACAGTTGAGTGGCTTTAAGGTTGGCGAACTTTGTTTCTCTCGTGTTATACCTCCGCAGCCAAGGACCCCAAGGTCTTGTAGACTGAAGATCTTTTACTCGCAAAAGCATTAGTTCGGTTCTCGGCAGCGCGGAAGTGCGGTTCGGCCCAGGGTTTTACAACTCAAAGGTCCACTTATCCATGAACTCCATCCAGGTCGGGCATGTTATCGAATGTTGTCGAAGTCTTGGACGTCTTGGTGAACAGCACGCCTGAGGTCCTAGTTGTAGCCCCCAATCTTTGCAAGATCAGAAGACCCAAAAGCCCATATACGGATGTTGCTTACCATTCCCCCCACCAAATACCACCTTCATCTGGAGAAAATCAGCAATACGAACAATTCAATAGTTCCAATATCAAACTGAGAGCGCACCGTGGTGGTCGGTCGTTGTCACCGCATATGATCTCATCGCCAAGCAAAGCCAAGCCATGGAGCCGCAGCTCACCGTTCCCGTCGCTTCCGCAGCCAGCGATCTCTGCGCCTCCATCTGCTGACAACATCCACTAATATCCACCAACATCGTATTCGAAAGGGCTCGAAAATGCGGGGAACATGGTGGTGGGTGGCATCGTAAACGGCAGGCCACTGAGAGATGGAGGTTTTGCTACCATGGCTGCTGTTGATGGCTGCCTGTAGGGCATCCTGGGCATGTAGGGGTGCCGTGATGGTGGTGTTAAAGTGCTGGATCGTATGGCGGGGTTGCATTGCAGCAGGACTTTGAAGGCTTCAACGGTTCGGTGTGCAGCATCGGAATATCGACTTCTCGTGATCGGTTCCTGGTCTTTTCTGCCCCCAAAATGCCGGTCACAAAGGTGATGATGTATCTGCTTCAAGCTGGCTCCTTTCTGTCAAACGAGGTAGGAGGGAATGAGGCATTGGAGGATGATGGTTGAAGCATCGGCCACATTCTTCCCGGCCAAGACGTGGCTGGCTTGATACCAGATGTAGATCTCATCCGGTTACATACGGGTATAAGCCAAGGAGGCAAATCGTCCGACTTGATTCATGGCTCGGTAAGACTCCAGCTGTGAAGCGCGGTCAGAACCAGCAGGAACTCTGGTTCACCCGTTCGGACCGGTCTTCATCGTTCTCAGCTCGGGTAAGATTCGCATAGGACCCTGCATCTTATGTCAGTTCTCTTGTGTCTCTCTGGTTCTCACGTGGCAAGTGACACGTTACAGCTGATCTTTTGCTTGATGCACTTCAATCGTTCTGTACCACTATGCGCGCAGAAAACGGCTGCCTTCAAATTCCAGTTCAACATCGTGACCGCAGCTGCCGACATTCGTCGAAGCGATGAAGGGCTAGAGGTACCCTCCAGGCACCCATATTGCCATAAAGTGGATTACTCCTCGTATATGCACGCATCGATCGTTGGGTGTTGTCGTTCACGAGAGTCAAGAAAGTCGCGATGTAACCTTCTCCAACTCCACGGGACTCGGCGGCAGCGGGATGGATCATGACCCTGACGTCGAATGTGGAACCGTGGAGCCACCAGACCGACCAGACCGATGCGCTGCCCCAGAGCGGCATGATCTTTTTGTCGATTGACTGCTTTTGAAGTGGAGAATGGCTGGTGAAAAAGAAAAAAAAGAGAAATATCTTGCTGCTGTAAAATGTTGTGTGCAGCGAAAAGATGAATCGGGTTGGATGTTGGTCAGATTCCGCGATGTTGGTCGGTCGGTTGGTCAGCTTCGCCAGCTTGGTCACTTGGCGCTGTTGGAGACGAGGAAATGCGGAAGTGCAGGGTAAGTGACGATTTTGAGCAAACCGAACCGAACCGCTGCTCGCGCCGTCAAGCGGCCGGGGTTGTTGGCGCCAAGTGCCAGGACTCGACGGCTTGGCGGACCGTCATCGCCATAACCTCCTGTGGCGAGTCGGCCGGCCGCAACATCCGATCGCTCAAGTAAAAGGAGGAAAAAGAGAGACCGGAAAAGAGAGTGAAATGGGATAAAATCTATTGTAGGTTCGAACAAAAAGAAGAGAAGAGATCATGGTGGATGTGCAAGCCAAAGGCGGTGCTGAGGGGCGACCGACCACTGGACAACCCCTGTCTGCCCGGCTGCCGTGTAAGTCAACGCCAAGCCATCCAACTCGGGCACTCATTATCGCCATGTTCCTCTTCTCTTGACACTAAGCTTCAAGACTTCCACAACAACTCCACTATTTCCACTTCAAGGACTACAAAATACAACGGGAAGAGAGGAGGTTCAACGCAATTGGAAGAAGAAAGACCATTGTCCGAGCATCGGAATATCGCAGGCCAGGGACACACGGCTCTCTCCATGGGGAAGAGGGCGAGACACGTGGGGCTTGCTTGGGATATTGACGGAAAGGAAGACCGTCGGGCTGCTCAAGTATGTCTGATGTGAAACGCGAGCCGCAAAGCTCATGATCCTGGGCTAATGCTAGGGCTTGTCGAGTCTTGACGGCCGTGGGGTGGTGCCAATGGAGCGCCGGGGGAATTCTACCCATCAGATGCCAGTTTTAATCCACCCACAACGAGGAGCAGACGTTGTCAAAAGGATCATCTGCCATCTGCCGTCTGCATCTGCTACCTGCTCTCAGACTCACGAGAAGAGCAGAGCGGATAATATTTCGAGCTCCTGCTCACCCTTCGGATCATAGACAAGTGTCAAGTTAGGTGAGCACGAGTATAAAGAGGCCCTACCCACCAGTCCACCATGTGCAGGCCACCAGGTAGGCCGTCACAATACCCAGATCCCAGACAGCGTGGTGGCTTCAACCACCTCAACCCCCAATAACAGACGAGAAAGGAAAGCAAAGACAGTCACAGACCGACAAGAACCGGAACTTTGGAAGGAAAGAAAGGAAGCCCATGAGTTATCTTGTCCTTTCAACTGGGGTTCTCACTCCCAGAATCCCAGACCACGGGATGGCGGCAGCAATGTCAAAACTCGGAAGCAGGACCGCGCGATGCCAGACGGGTTGCATGGAGCTTAGAGCGAGACAAAGTTACACAGGTCCTCCAGCTCCGGGCTCATGTCCTAGAACGGGTGGAAACGTCAGCGTTAAAGCGAGCTTGTGAGGACCGCAGGAACCCCAGAATCCAGATCACCTCACTTCACCTCACTTCAAAGCGGAAGGTCTATCTGTCATCTGCCACTTTGTAGCGTAGGCCAGGCCAGGGGGGCAGGATCGGTCTTACAACTCTCAACCTCTCCCGCTCCGCTTCCTCTGCTTCCCCCACTCGACAGGCCGACGCCTTCAAAGCGATGAGCTTCCCCTTAGGTACCTTCACCTACCCTTGTACAACCAGGGCTTAGGGGACGCGCAAGGCTAGGTATCTACCAGGCGTGGTCTCGAGACCGGAATCTTGGAGATGTAGCCGCGCCATGTAGCCAACGAAGTCCAAGGCGGACCAAGTTCTCAAGTTCTCACTCAACATCGGCGTTCCTTGGAGATGCCAGCTCGTAACCCCAGTTCCAACTTTGAAAGGCGACAAAAGTCCAGTCCCAATACTCGGTTCCTCCAATCCCGAGATGGCAGGAACGACCTCCGTCCTCCGGTATTGAAGAATGAAGGCTGCGAGAATGGTATCCAAACTTGAACGAGGTGTAAGTCCGCAAACAAACCGACGAGCACGGAACACCCAGCCCGGACTTGGTCGTAGAACTAGTGAAACCGGCAGGAAGTCCCTGAGACCTGAGCCCCGCTGCCCGGTGCTGTGCTGGGCCGAGAGGTGGCTAGTATATGAATGCACGCATCACAATGACCCCCGCGTGGCCGGGAGCACGGTCGATACCCAGGGAACGAAGACGTGGGCACGTGGTCGTAAAGCTAGTTTCAGGAATTTCTTTATTTGGAGTCCCGTCTGGATTGGATGCCTTGACACTGACAAGCCCACGTTGGATGTTGTCCCTAGACCGCCAGCAGCTTGCTCCAAACCTCCAAGATGGAACAAGTACGCCCTGACCAAGGGCAGTGTCAGTAAGGTACCAGCGTTCTTCTTCTCAGGGCTCAGTCTGACAAGTGACAACTGACAACCTAGGTACGTAGCCGACGCTGGTAGCCTGGAGTGTTGAGCTTTTGAGCATCTCAGGTATCGTCGTGTTCGCATATTATGATGGCTGAGGTAAACGGAGAACCGAAGAGGTTGCCGGCGAAGAGGAAGACCGAGGGTTTGATCGCGAAGAATTCTGGGGAGAAGCCTGTGAGCAAAGGCCATGAGTTGGGTTCGAGAACCCCAGGGTAGAGCCGGCGGGACCCGGAAGGCATCCCGACTGCCCGGTGGTGTGCACCGGTGCAGAGAGGCAGGTGGCCATGTTCATGCATGGGCGCACGAATTCGTCTGCTTTCTCCGGCTGGAACGATGGTCATGCGAAGACATGGTGATGGCCTCACCATTCTCCCTGGCTGGACTCGAGAGTGGATGGCTCGACGGGCGTTGGATGCGGTAGGCTACCGGCAACTTGTTGATGATGGAGAAACGACACCAAGCACGATGTTTCTCTGGCACAAGCATTACGCAACTGCAAGTTTTGGTAATAGCATTATGGAACCATGAGACCATACAGTGTATCCAAAAGTGTACGACAACTGTCGTTGTCCGATATGAAAAATATATCCTAAAAAGATCAATGACAAACAGCCAGCCTGTCAAGCCAACACGACTACTGCGCCGAGACAAAACAAACAACCCTCCTTTTGTTAAACAAACTGAAGCAAAAGATATCTAAACGTTGTTTCCCCAGGTATCCATGAATCCGTCCATTTCCCAATCAGAAAGTGATAAAAAGGGTACGCCGTAGAAAGAGACAAACCAAAACTCATTAAAACTTCCCAGTACATATGCAAATGGCTTGTGCTTCAGGACGGAGGGTGTACCATAAGACATCAATTTATTACACACGAAAAACCTAACCAACACTAAAGACTTCCACCCATATACATTCCATCCTTATCTCTTGGGTATACAACAACCAACGGACTCCCCTTCGCTTGCTGACTCGCTTAGAGCATGACCATGCCGGCACCGACACCCATGGCGACGACAACGTACAGACCAACAGCCATATCGGCAACGGTGAAGAAGCTCTTCATGGCAACAGGGGAAGCGAACGACTCGCTAGTCTCAGAGGAGGCAGCACCACCATCGGTACCACCGTTGCCGGAGCCAGCAGTGGCGGTAGCAGCGACCGCGTTAGCGGCCTCAGCGCTCTTGAGAGCGGCGGAGCAGGTGGGATCGGCCTTGGCGCCACCGTTGGTAGAGGCCTTACCATCAAAGTCGCAGGCGTGGGAAGCGTACTTCTGGTTCTTGTAGTACTGGTCCATGACGTAGCCAAGCTGCTGGAGGGAGTTGCACATGGCGTAGGCACCGTAGACACCGGTAGCGGGGTCGCCGAGGATGCCGGCGCAAGCAGCGGCGTCGTTGCCGCAGACGGTGCCAAAGAGCTCACCGTAGTCCTCGGTGTCGAGGCCCTTGGTGGGAACGCAGGTGAGGGAGTTGTACATGCACTCGCAGAGGTTCTCATCAGGAGTAGGGGGAAGAGCATCGCCAGTAACCTTCCAGTTAGAGGTGACGTCGGGGCACTCGGCGGCCTTGTTGGAGGGCTGGTACTCGTCAATGTCAACGGTCTTGGGCTTGGCACCGAGGACGGCGGTCTTGAGCTTGTCGTAGTTCTTGAGCGTCTTGGCGGTCTTGCCGGACACGTTGACGAGACCATAGTCGTTTTCCTCCTGGAAGTACATGTAGACGATACCACCAGAGAAGACGTCGGTCATCGCGTCAGAGTAAAGAGCGGTGGTCTCCTGGAAGATACGGGCTTCAGCACCGCCGGGATTGTTGCAACCGTACTCGGCGAAGAAGACGGGGACGGAGTAGTTCTTGAAGAAGTCGATCTGCTCCTGGTATCCAGATCCCTTGATGGTGTTCTCGCCGCACCACTCGTAGATGTTGTAACCCCAGTAGTCGATGGCCTCATCCTGGTTACCGCAGTTGAAGTAGTGGGCGATCTCGGCACGAATCTTGGGGTCGTCGTTGGCGGCATAGCCAACACCAACCCAGCGCTTGACGTTCTCCTTGATGTAGTTCTTGGTGTCACGGACAGCAGCCTTGACGTAAGCGGAAGCATCGGTGTTGCTGGCGTTGTTGGAGACCTCGTTACCGGCGAAGAAACCGATGACGTTGGTGTACTTGGTCATCTCATCGATGACATCGGTATAGCGCTTGAAGAGGGTGACATCCCACCTGGGGTCGTCGCGGTTGATGGACTTGGAGGGCTCGGACAAATCGCTGATAACGTAGATGCCGGCGTCGTCGAGGAGCTTCATGCAGGCGGTGTGGTCGGCCTCAGGGTCGATGGCGTAGGTACGGATGGCGTTGGTGCCAGCGGCCTTCATGATGGGAACATCACGCTTGCAGGCCTCTTCGTCGGCGAGGGGATCGCGGAATTTACCGGTGGTTGTCTCGCCGCCAGCGCCAGTAGTATCTTGCTGATAGGCAATGCCCTTGATGTAGAACTGGGTGCCGTTCTCGTAGAAGAACTTGGTGCCCTGTGGATTCAAACGCGGTTAGCATTGGGCGCATCGTGATCTGGGGTGCCACGGTATGTATGCCTACCTTCATGACGATGGGTTGAAGAGCAGCGGAAGCCTGACTGGCAAGGGTCAGGCCCGCAATGAGGGCCGCTTTAGAGGTGACCATTTTGGCTGTGTGATTGTGTCGAATTTGTTTGTTGATTAAGGCCGTGTTCGTTGTAGTCTATTCGGTACAGAAAGTGGGTGAAGATGCGGCGTGAGTATGTCGGGAATTATCCTCCAGCTGTCGGCCGAATGTATCGTGTAAAATGTTGTTCAAAGAATGTGGGAAGAGATGCAATAAAAGAGGCAGTAGCGAGAGACCTCTGTGATGTGTTCAGCCCCCTCTATGGATGATTAGTGGTGGATGGGCAGGAGTGAGAGAGAGAGTGAGTGGAGTGAAAATGGAGAAAATGGAAAATGGAAACAGCTCAGGACTTCGGGGGGACATGCGACGGAAAAGGAGGAAAGAAGAAGGCGACGGAGATTGAAAGCGTGGAAATGGAGCCTGGTCTGTGTGTCAGTGTGCGCATCGTGGTGGGTCCATGGTTGGCCGGTGTGGTGGGGAGTGGGTCATGGACCCCAACAACGGGCACATCGAGGCCCCAGTTCGTTCAGGAACGCTGCAGCAGACGATGCAGTGGAAGGGGCCAAGCAATTTGAGGGCAACGACCAGTCGACCACAGAATCTCGAAATGGCTTGCTCGGTCAATCGATGATTCGTCCATCACACTGGCAAATCTCTGTGTCGCAGACCTCAGGCCAACCATTTCTGGGAGGTTTCCAGTGCCGTAATTACGCCTTCAAAGATGTCCCTCAACGCCACACAGGCACCATGAAAGATGAACTCGAAACCGATGAGTGGGTTCACCTTGGTGAAGTGGGTTTCGTCGTATGTGGGAATTTCGTAAACGCAGGGATGATCAGACATTTGGGGGAGGGATTCTGTTTGAGAGACGCTTGCTTCAGTTGTCGCTGTCCGGTCGATCTCTGGAAGCACTGCACAGGAAACACAATTGAATTGTTATTCCCATCCATACGGGAGCAGCCACACACGGCTTGCTTGAGCGGGAGTACGGGACAACTGCCGGGGTACATTCCATCAGAAATTCATGTTAATGCAAACACCCATTCATTGATGTAGATCCCGTGTGCATCACCATGTTGAACAAGATTTAAAAAGGGCCGTTGACCGCCATCGCATCGTTGCAGTGTCAGTGTGCCATCTTCATTTCGCCTGTTGCCAATGTGTGGACTCGCCTCCGGAGAAACAGGACCCTTTCCTCTGGAATGTCTGCCGAGCCTGGGGCAGACAAGCATCAACTTGTGGACACAACCGAGCGAGCGAGCATTCCAGGGGTTCAATTATTGGCTGACATCGATCGGTTCACCTTCGCGAAAAAAACAACAGATTGAACCCTTGAAGGAGAAGTTCAGTCTAGCGACCTCGATGGTACCGATGACACGTGATACGGTCGTCCAGAACAGGACGGAATGTCCGGCGCCACCGATTCGCCGGCCTGCCATTTCAAGCAGTTCAGTTTGATCGGGATAGGGGCCCGGGAGGAGGAGGAGGATATGGGATGAATGAACGATGATGGATGAACATGTTTCCCCTTGTTGGCGATTGTCGTTCATCACTTTCACCGTCAGACCGTCAATGCTTCGCTCGTTTTCATTCAAAGCGCAAACCTGTCTGTTTTTTCGTTTGGCGCTCACATCAGCGGCACAGACGCCGACGCCCAACACTCGCAGGGTACAGTAGTAGGCAGGAGGCAGGCGGAGTCCGTCGCGACCCCATTTCTGGTACGTTCAATCGCACTTCGCGGTGTCCTCTGCTCACTGACACTCACCCCCCGGGGAGAATTGATCAATTGGCAACCAACCAATTTCCCCGACGGTCAAAATCCCGGCTATTCCGTTTCCTCCCTTACTGAGTGTCATCAGTCATGCTCTCTCTGTTCGTATTTCCCACGAGAGCCGATGAGAAGAAGCATGCAGCCATCGCCCAGAAAAAACGCCTCGTTTGTCGTCAACCGAAGCCTTTCCAAGACCCAAGAGATCTCTTGTCATTCAGGATCCAAATTTGCGAGATCGACAAGCCTTCTCCCTCCCGTCTTGTCGTCGAACCCTCCCGTCTTGTCGTCGACACAAGCAAAGCTTGGATTTGGCTGAGAAAAGCTTGGTTGATCGACGAGACCTTTCGGGGCCAGCGGCCTTTGCGGGTTTGGAGCGGGTCCCGCTTTGCTTGGTGTGAAGCTTGGTCGCAGTGGAGCCGGCTTGGCGCATCAGGGGTAATGCATTGGCAGGCACTTGGGGGCGTGGGCGGCTGCTCTCCTGGAAACCTTGGCAGCTTGGCGCAACACCGTTTGGCCGACTTTTTGTTCCCACACACTCGAATTCAATTCGATGTTCGTCTTTGGTTCTGGAAGCTAAAGTTGAGCATGGTGATGCACGACGACGTCAACTTCGTTGACGGTGCATGTGCTGTTTGATATCAAACCGTTCTTCAATCTGTGGATACTGATTTGGCTTGTCTCCTATTTTTGACGTTGACGATGGATGATGACCTGAATGCTACGCTGACATGGACGAGACGACCTCCTGAGAGCAACCGCAAAAGTCGAGGGTAGATGCCCCCAAACTCAAGGGAAGATCATCTCCCCCGGAGTGGTGCATGCACCTTGAGATTGAGCTTCAAGCGACACGACGAACTGCCCGCCGCCAGTCGTTACACCAACACAAGCGCCCGCCCCCGATATCTTGATCGCTCAAATCTCAAACTTCTCAAAATCCCAACTTTTTTTGTGCAAGCGCAGGCAGTGCCACCCGTTTGAAACTTGTGTCGAATGTCCACACAGTTCGCTGTTCGACCGTTGAAGCACCAAGACGGACTGGAGAGCTTGGCTTGTTGTCGCCCAGTCGCTTTGTCAACATGCGTGCAGTGTTCGGTGTGTTTTGCTTCCAAACCAAAATGACGTCCGGATGCCAGCACCCGAAACAGCGGGTCAAGTTTCATGCTTTAACTTTGTGTTCAACTTTTTTTCGCGGTCTTTTGCGAATGTGTCGAATTCATTGGCCTCTCATATTGCTCGCTAAAAAAATTCCGTGGTGGCTCTTCGCAGAACATGTCGCTTTTGGTTGCCCCCAAATTCCACACCACCCAATCCGTGGATCTACAGGAGAATGATTGGCGCGATCTTCACTCCTTCCAATGTTGTCTCTCAGCACTGCCTCCTTTCGTGGTGGTTGTGCAGTCGCGATGTGAGGGTGTGATCTGTGCTTCTAAGAATGGAACTTACCGCTCACTCTGGTGGATGTCAACGGAGGACGGCCGGCGAGTGCGACCGACCGACGAGAGTGGGAGAAATGACAAGACCGGGACAGGAAAGGGGCGCGGCACGCATCAATCGGGCAGGCACAGGAGATGCTGGTTGGTGCACGGACCCGCATGGCACAACAGGATGTTAGGACAAGGTTTCTGCACTAACAGATTTCGGTGGTCTAAGGATTGAGATGAGATAGAAGGTTAGCGAAAGTACATCCCCAGTTGCACGTCCTCTCGTGCCCAACCGAGGCTCAATCGGCCACTCACTGCACTGCGTTGGAATTTCCAAATTCAATGACATGATTTTCGTGATTCAACCTCGTTCGATCAAGTTCAACGAAATTGAAACGCCAAAGCATCAAAACACCATCTATGACCAGTTGGATACTCCATATCCTCCATATAATACTGATGCCTCTATTGCCTCGGCGATCTTTCCTGTTACTTCACATCGATAACCCAGTTGTCGATACGGAACTCGTCAACGACGATATCTCACCGACGGCGAAGTACAGAATCCAAGCATCATCAAACACTCAAGCCATGCTGCCATCTCCATGTCCATCACTTCTCAGAGTTAGCACAGCTGTATTCTCTCTTCACCATTATCTGTTATTCAGGTTCCCTTCTCACGAACACCACGACAGGCACACACATAAGTCTTGGAACGGGGGAGATGCCTATCTTCCTTCCGCAGCCGAGCTTTGACTGACATGTTTACCCATCATCAGGCTCACGACCATCTCAAATATTCTGAGCAACTTTTCCCCCATTTGTTTTCATCCCCATCAGCTACCTTACGGCTTTCCTTGTCCAACCAGCCCTTCCTGATCACATATCCCACAAGTCCACGGCCGTTCCCATCTTGCATGTCACGGGCCTGATGGGTAGGTTCCCCTTCGTTGTCCACCCAGCCCTGGTTTTCATGCTTCAGTTCCCAATGCTTCTTTCGGCCCTGTTCAACCAGCCCGATTCTCAATACTCTGAAATGCCGCACCCGTGTCCAACTCACGTACCACCGGCCTCATTGGTAAGGCTCCAAGCTTGGAGCAAGTGTTTCCAGCCGCCTGCACAGGCGTCGAGTCGTGCCTCAAGCGTGCTCTGGTTATATGGTTAGCATCTGTACTCCCCGAGGAAACGACGATCTACAAGGACGCGCAAATTTGTATTGTTTTCAGATCTTGATTGGTTTATTTCTTTGCCTGTCATCACAACGGTTCTGCTCCCAGGTCCTTTGCAGTGGTATTCATCATTGAGCAAGTCTGTGTTCTAGCTGGAAGCTCTCTGCTTACCAAGACACGATGTTGGCTGAAGACAATAGTCAGGAGCAAGGGCCGAAGTGGTGATCGAGAGGCCTACTGGAAGTATTCTCTGTTAGCAGCGCTCTTCCAAAGGAGAGGAAGCGGCACAGCCGAGTGGCGGTGTCTTGCCTACCAGACTTTTACAATATCTGCCTTCATTGCGCAGAAGGAACTCAAAATTAGTCATATACAAGGGCGCTCATGATGAAATGCACCAGGGCCGTTCAGTCGTCGGGAACCCTTTGGGGTATGAACGAAAGTCGGTTTACTGTACCGTCTGACCTCAAACACTGTCACTGGGAAACTACCAATGCCTTGTTCGGTTTACTCGTTTATACTTGTTGCTGTTATGATGATATTGGCGTTGTTCTACTCTTCACTGGCACTCCCTTCCAGTATCTCTAGCCTGCCCTGGTTTCCATCCCCCATCCTCAGCTCCAACTACTTAACATATCCCTTTTCTCAAGAAAAGGAAGTGGTGAACCCAAGGTCGGTCGG